GGCTTCTTTTTGCCATCCTTCTTGGCGACCGCCTTGTTCGGTCGGATTTCATCCAGTCGCTCGTGTGGCACCACGTTGTTGAATAAGTCCCATCCCGGAAGCCTGAATGTTCGCATGAGTTCAAAGACAGCCTGCTCCTTATCTTTGGCCTCGATCATAAGATCTGCGTCAGGAGGGCACGGTGGAAGAGTGCGCACTCGCGGAGAGTGTTTTCTTCGGTCCCGGGGTGTGGTAGCGCTCGGACAGGATTCGCTATAGTGCATCTTTTGCTTGATGTTCTTACGCGTCCATGTAGCATTGATTCTGTCGTAGATCTTCGTAATATCCTCGGTACCCTCACGCAATTGGCTTGCGTCGAAAATGATGTTGTGGTGATGGAAGTCCAGAACCATTGGGATGTTCAACTCCTCGCAGATAGGTAGTAGGTCATGGACAGACCAGGCAACATCGTCGTTCTCGAGGACAAGTCGGTTCTTGATAGACTGTGACAGCTTAGCATAGTTGGCACGGAATCGATCCAGCGTAGATGCCTTGTCGCCGTAAGTGCCACCCATATGCAATATCATGATGGCGTCCCTATTTTGCTGCTCCGGGAGACGGAGAAGGCCGAGCAACTCATCGTGATATTCAAGATCGCGAATTGCGGCTGTGATGACTTCTTTGCGTGGTGAGCCGAGCTGAGTAAACTGGCCAGGGTGCGTCGTCAGTCTGTGGCCTAGTTGTGCAGCGACTTTTCCGGCTTCTGCAAGAGGCTCCGCAGCGAACGGGGTGAGGCGGTAGCCGTATTCTTCATGGCTAGCAAACGGAAACATTTCTGAGCTGAGTCGCATGAACTTGATGCCGTACTTGTCGTTCCAGCGAAGCATTTTCACAATATCCCGAGCATTGGCCAAGCCCAGTTCCTCGACATACTTCTGACCGCGTTTGATATCGGCCGGCTGGTTTTCGTCAGGACGATTCTTAGTAGGGTGTTCAGGCTGAGATGGATCAGCAAGCGGGTGACGATGTTGTAATATGGAGGCTATGCGGCAAGTTCTTGAACTGAAGACGGGTGGATTTGCGGCGCGGAGATAGGTATTGAGACAGGCCTGCTCCAGTATTAGTCAACGACAACGAAAGCTAGGATGTGGGAAAGATCATACGTAACCCAGCCTTCCAGTCCATGGGAGAGGCAGGTAGCTGCTGTTTACAGGCGGCTCTCGTCCAGCACCTCTCTCCGGAGCGTTCTCGAGGCGCATCTTGTCGTCCTCGACGTCACCGACAGCGCCTTCCCCGTCCGGACCTTCGATTGGGGCGGCATCCAAATTGGGGGTACCGGATCGCTCCTCTTCAGCCATCCGGGCGAGCTTCTCTGGATCTGACGGATGGACTGCCAAGTGAGGTTTATATGCGTTTTTGTCTGAGTGAGGCTTGGTTGAACCAGGCGGGACATGGCTCGTCTCAATGGCAAGACGCTGGTTCCTGGTGGAATTCTGTAGACGGTTCTCCATCTCAGTGAGCTCTCTTATGGCACGGCGCACGCCATTCTCAGACTCGGCCTTCTTGCGGCTAATCTGGCGGCGCTTAGCCGGTGGTTGGTCTTTTGCAAGATCGGCCTCGGTGGGACTCATGGCGGCGCCGGGCTTGGTGACTGTTTTCACGTCGCTGATGTTTCTGGCGGATCGGCGCGGAGCCGGAGTGTCGGGGACAGGGTTTGCAGCCTCGGTGGTAGTAGGTTGTCCATTTGTTATACCGGACTTCTTTCGCTTCTGTGCGGCCATGGTTATGTATAGGCAGCAGTTAAGTAATATAAATGGTCGGCTGAGCGAGTACTGATGGGGGTGGGAGACACAAGCGAGCGATGAGCTCAGGAGCGGGACAAGTGACGGCACGAGGGGGCTCGTGGCACGAAGAAGTCGTCGCGAATACAACAGATGATTGGCCGCGGCGGAAGAAAAGCTCCTCATGCAGTCAATGACGGGAGCAGCGGGCGGATCTGTCGAGAAGTGGCCCGGCAAGGTGATGGATACGGAAGCGCGTAGTAGTATAGAACCCGAGGATAGTTATGCTCTAAGGTGGATGTTTGCCATGTGGGAACTAAGGTAATGCGGATGGCCGGGTGTCAGATGGATGCGAATTACGTAGAGACGCTTTGGCGTAACTGCAGGTGACCGAATTTCGAATCGAGTGAGGTACCCCGAGGGATGAAGTGTGTGTAGTAGGGGTGCTCTGTTCAGGATGATGCTCTTCGGCGAGGATGGGAAGGAAGACGATGACAGGGACAACGAGACTGTAAGGTATGGTTAAGCAAGAGAGGAGTATGTGATTTGATATGAGTTGAGGCTGAGTTGAAGTGAGATTTCTCAAATCACTTGCAATGCGCGCCGAGTGAAGCAAAGGAAGAGTGTGTGAGAGGGCGGAGAAAGGAGAGGGAGAGAGACGGGAGAGGGAGAGAGAGAGGCAAAGACGAAGAGATGGAAAACGTCGATGAGGTCAACGGGGCCACAGACCGAGCACTGCGCGCTCGAGAGACAGACGTCGGATGGGAGTGAGGTACAAACGGCCATGTATCTTGAAGCGAGCAGGCTAGTAATAGAGGCGAGTATCTACCTGAGCTCAGCTTGAGATAGGTACTCCGAGCTAAAGTAGGTACCTAGGTAGGGTAGGTAGGGGAATAGACGGGAAGGATGGGAATTGGAAAAGGAAGCTAAGACGGATGCTTTCTACCTGACCTTACCTTAGGTACCTTAGGGTCCCGATCGTGTCACCAATCACTTAGTTTGACTCTCGCTTTCTTATGTTTGTGGCGGAAGAGAAGAACCTAAGGGACGATATGAGGTAAGGTTAGGGCAACACGATCTCGAGGATGCCTCCCCTCTCCATGCTATGCGAGACTCTACTTTCTTCTCTCTTATTTTCTTGTAAATATGGATCAGGTCCCATACGGTACCACATTCCGGGTCGAAGCTCGCCCCTTGAGGTATGACGCGTGGGATCAATAGAGTCGGGCAGGAAAGAAGACAGCCGAGTTGAAGAGAGGACGCGAAACCGCCACACGAGTAATGAGGCAGTTGAGACGCCACAGTCGACGCTCGACTAGAGATGAAGAAGGCGCTTACCTGATGAGTAAGGATGATTCCTCACTGTATCCCAGTAGATATGCAAAGAAGAAGGAGAAGAAACAGAAAAAGAAAGAAGCGCGGGAGGGAAAAGCGCGTTTGCAACCGTGGATGTGGAACAGAGGAAGGGACGATACAGAGCTATGAGGTAGGTGTGGAGAGCACAGACCACATATCGTGCGTCATTCCTCCAACAGCGCAGACGCACCGCGATTAAATCGACGGCAGGAGCTCCCGACGTCACCACCACGACACCTCTCCTGAGTCCTGTGCCTTCCTTCTGCCTCACCTACCAGTATCTTACCTTACTATTGAGCCATGTGCATGGCAAGTGCGCAACCAATTTCTTTTAGATTTAGGAAAGAACTTGTCATCGTACCAAATTCCAAATAGCAAGCACCTTTCTCTCCTCCTTTTCTTCAACGTCGCGTCCGTACCTTAGAGGTAGGTAAGTACCTTGCATCAATGGCAGGTGAGAGCCATCTTGGTCTACCTGAGTTCCTTCCCCAGTCTAAAGTAGGTATGAATGAAGCATTTGGAGACACCCGTTACACCAAGCAGAAAGTCAACGGAGCCAAGCGGGTAGAATTTGCATAGCTAGCTTCCAATTCCCCGTCTACAATTCTCCATTTTGTGACATCGACATTCCGTCTTCATTGTAGATTTGCCGCACAACTTTGAACTTCTATATCGGCACGCATCGGTAGCAGACATTGCAGAGTCCACCCAATTCCTCCAGTCTCTCCACACATCTTGCGTATGCGGAGTATTGCCGGTATTCAGCCTCACGGACATGACCTCATCGTCCCATTGCCAGAGACAGAGGCTGAGGCAAAGACATTCACTTTGTTATTCACCAATGTCACCGCACGCGCTGCAGTGTAGACAGCTATTCGAGCCGTGATTGGAATCTGCCACACTCTGTCTGCTCTACCTAAGGTACTTGTATACGAATGCCACCAGGGAACACAAGCTCCGTCGTCCACTCACATTCGGCTTGTTCCATCACTAATTCATCATCCCAGCAGATAATGCGCGCCTTCTTGCTAGCTCCGCCCAAGTCGAGCTCACCGAACCCAGCCAAAGTCTCACCTCCCTTGTCCAAGAAAACAACCATTCGGACTTAGGGCTCCACCTCAAACGATACACACCGAGGCTCGCGGCTTGCTTTGCAGTACCGTATCGTATTGTCTACCTACATCGCCGCCGCTGTTTACTGAGAGAACTGCAAAACAACGACTCCCATGGCACTCTCGATGCTGGGCTGATATGTACGACACTGTATTCTCTTTGTTTGATTACCTATCAGCAATCATGAATACAAGCAGCCATCCGATCGTGGCATTCTCGTATCAACTGTACATCTTACCAGCCAATGTACCATGCAGCCGACCCCTGCGCCTCCAGCTTCACCGTGCGCCACCCCCAGACCGTCTGGTCCGTGAGCTGAGCAAAACCTCCGGCTCCATGACGATGCGATCTCGATGTCATCCAACTCCCGCTTACTGGCTTCCCCGTGGTTGGGTTGCGTTTCCGATATTTTTCTGCAATATCTGCAATCTTCGAGACGTTGCCAGCCCTCTCGTACGAGGAACCAAATACCTAGGTATCTGCACCGACGAAGCCCCCATGTATCTACTTTCTCGATCATGGCACGATTGCCATCCATACGCACCCAATGATTGGGCGGCTCCCTACCTCAGACTCACTCGCCGCATTGGAGCGACGAGATACCTGGCTGGTTGAATAATGCCCAACTAGCCATGCCGCGAGATCATACGTAACAACATAGCACCGCCCGTTGGCTCTTGGTAAATAGACTGTTGCAGAACGGTTGCACAATTGCGATTACACATGACGACTGGCAAAGGTGCTTTGAATTCCAAGATTACATAGTGAAAACTAAACAACACCATAATGCAAGATTCGACGCCTGCTCCATCGCGCTAGGGTCTCCCGCGTCTGCCAATATTGACTTCGGCAAACGGGACAATCAAATCTTTCAATCAAGAACCACGACGAGAGACACTTGGCGTGGAAAGCATGTTGGCAGTTCTTTAGCGTCAAGATATCATCATCTTCGGACGGTTCACTTGCAGACGCGGACAATTTTCTCTTCCACGGCCACGGCATATTCCAGCTTCGCAGTATGGCCTTCACATCACGAACCTCATCCGTACCTCCGACCGTAGACCGGCTTGTCTCTTCCCCACTTCCTTCTAGAACACGGGTGTGCCCACCGGAATCGGGGGCCTTCAGGGTGATCCCTTGCGTCGGTACTGCTCCGGCAGCATTGCAGTTGCTTGAGACGAACAGTGGACCGATACAGATGGGACTATTGGTGGCAGCGTTAGCGACCTCGGTGTATTATGCATTGGCGAACTCTGTTGTCGGCTTCCCCCGCGAAGATAGCGCACGCCCCATACCCAAGGCTTTCCCCGCAGTGACCAACTTGGCGAGAGATACTCACCATTCCGGTTCCGAGTCATGCCGATTGAGCTTCGACTCGAGATCCAATCCGTCGAGGGTAGTGCTATTGCACTCGGAAACTGTGCTCAATTTTCGTCGGGCGTCTTGGAACTTTGATGTCTTGGGATGATATTTGCGACGGTCTTGTATGCGCAGATATGTGAGGCGGACTCTAACGACACGCATGCTCATCAGCTCCTCGTAGCTATCTTGCTTCGGAGAGGGGGGTTCAGTACGGTCTGTACAGCGGCCCGCAGACGAGAAGGACCATGAAAAGCGTAAGCAAAATTATGCCAAGTTCGTCCATGCAGCCGGTGGGTGCCCGACGAGGGGCATGCCAGACTCCTAGACCGACTTGAAAGTGATAACGGGCACTTCTTGCGCTGGTGAATCGCGAGTTCTTCAATGCCAACAGCAGGATGTGTTGTGGCTTTCAAAACCTGCACATCGCATCTGTGGTGAGAAATGCGGCGACAGCGACCATTTAACTCGGCAAATGTCGACAAGCGGCGGCGCAATCAAGGCTGATCAGATGACAACAAACGCTACATAGGCCGACAAGGCACACCTACAGAACCCTCGTGAATGGCTGGAGTCAAGAGCCGAGTTGGTGATACGCCAGATGCGAGCTCTCTGCCATCAGCCACCAATACCCCTCATTCCCCCAAGAGCACCGGCGTTCAGCTATGGTGTTCTCACAGCTGGGCGCCCAGTCTTCCTTGCAAATGGCTGTTTGCTTGAGATAACAATGAGTCGACGAGTTCCAACTTCCAACAAGGCCACACATGGCTCATTATCTTTGATTTTCTCTATCCATACCTGCTCAAAACCCTCACGATATCGTTCTTCGTGGGCCAAGAACCTTGGCTGCAAATTACGCCGAATCAGACGCCTGTCCAGATGCAACTCTTTCTGGGGGTTAGATAGAATGGCCCAGGTTTGTGACGTAAAACTGGCGTGTGATACTGGTCTTGGTATCCTTGGTAAGCGGCGGGACGCCTCTACTACCTTGCCTCCGTTTTCCCAAGAGAGGCCGATGAGTCTGTCTGGACTCCTGGGCAAAGAGACTGAACTGCAACGGGGCAGGGAACGAAACGCAAAACGAAGCAACGGAGGGGTTGATTGACCTTACACAGTAGATACCCTAACCTTTTCAGTGGATGGGCGGGGGAATGTTGGGGTGACGAGGACTTTCACCAGGGAGTGCCCCTCCATATCCCCTCTACCCCTCCGGAAAGTTGGAAACTTTTGAATGAACCGCCATGGAGACCCCGGGATTTGGAGGTGAGAAACATCTACGGAGTACTCCAGACTCCAACTACCCAACACCAAGACGCATTCACGAACCCAGGAGAGCCGGCGGCGGCGCTGGAGGAGAGGAAAGTGGACTTTGGAGGAGCGGCGCCGGCGCCCAGCAGGCCGGCCAAGAACCGCCAAGTTGCCCGTCATCCCTTGGCTGCCAGACTGACCTACCAGAGGTTCAACTCTTCTCATTTGCAACCCACCTCATATGTCCACCTCGGGGCGGCCAAGACGTCCGCCGTCCAATACCATCAGCTGACCAGTGTCTCTTGCGACACCGAATGGAGAAATGCGATCAACATGCTGGAGAAGGATTTGGCAAAGACCCTGCTCCGAGTATCCCGCAAACGTGCACTGGCATGATGAGCTGGAAGGCGTGGTTGTAGCTGGATAGGCCGGGCTATTCGCGGCCTTGTTTTCTATGCCCAGAAAACATCGGCCTATCTGAGGGGCTCACGATATCTCTCTACACATTTCGATAAGTCTCCGAATTGGGCTCCTACACTTCTCGCCCAGTATCTAGGCGTCTCATTCGGGGTGGCTGTGTTTCTGGGCGGACCCGTTCTTCCCCCGCCCGTGTTGCGCCCGAGTTGTCGTGAGTCGGTGATACTGGGTCAAGATCCCGGTTCATGTTCGTCCTCTCCACGTTCCTCGCAGCCGTAATTTGTGTAGACTCTGGGCAGGCGTTCTCGTGCGCGGGGTTCAAAGCAAACCATGAGGGGAGAGAGGTTGAGAGGAATAGCGACGGAAGACTTCGACTGAAGTTGTCAAGTGCAGATGGTGTGAGTTGAATATGGTCGTCCGGATTGACGGAGGTTCGGAGCCCACCGATCAAGTTCGAACCCGCATATTTACGGCGTGTGAATCTTCGAAGAGTGACCGAAAATATCGGGAACTTTTGCGAGTTTGACGGTGCCGGCGTCTTGCCATCGGCGTCGAAGACGTTCAATAACGCGTCCGCTCACCTTGAACGACCTGGACCACAGACGGCGCTTTATAGTTGTGCAGAGCACTGAGAGGCCTCCCAAGCACATGGTGCGGCAGTTGTCGTATGCTGTGTGCGTCACCTTCTGGCGCCCGTCACTTACAACTCCGGATCTGGCATGTCTAGGTCCTGGCCATGAGAAGGAGCCGGAAGAGCAGGATGAGCCAGTTGACCGTCGTGCAGCCGGCAGCAGGGAGAGTGGAGAACGGCGGGGGAAATGGCACAGAGAGCCCCTCGTTGAGTCTTGAAGAGCTGTTTCCGACGTACGAACCGCGCTGCCCAGGGAACATGTTAGCTTCTGGGCACTTTCTTTAGATGTACACATATCCCTGCGACAGCTATGATCATCACCCGGCGGCGTATACCATTTCTAAATCTATTGTCCCTATCCGTACATATGGGACACCCCGGAGTCAGCTCAGCGACACTGAGCTAGACTCGGCCTTACCGCAAGCCCGCCAGTGTTACACTTCAAACCTTTCAAGCCTACAGCCTACCTTAGACTTTGAGAAAATTGTACGGGTACGGTCTACGACCAACCACAGTATACGATCTTGGCGCTATTGCAGATACACTACTGCAGAGGTGACAGCACCCCTGCAACTGGCAACCTTCTAGAAGGAGGGCACCCCCACAATGGATGTTTCTTGGAAGGCAGAGAGATGTCTTACTGGCCGGAGGCGTAGTGGAGAAGGCAGAAACTCTCGTCTTCTGTCTTTCTGGGCGGAGCCAAATTCATCACCGAAAGCATCGATCCCTCAACCTCACCCACCCCCTCCTCCATGCTCTTGTCTCTGGCGGGTCCAATTGTATTCTCCATTACAATGCCCAGCACCGCTCTCAGCCTCTCGAGGAGCGGGCTGCCCAGAATGAGGCCCGCTGCCCAGAGTCTCGGCAGCTCAACATGGCAGGCGAGGGCGTCGAGATCCAACCAAGATCTGGATTGCGTGCTATTGAATCGCTCGCGTGTTCACGACCGATTTTCGGTCGAACAGCTTGAGATTGCTCCAACATCATGGAAAGCCTGGGGGTACCCTTGAAAGAGCCCCGCGCAGAGCCGCCAAGGCTGAAGGAATGCGCCCTCGACACCCATGAGAACGCTTGTCACGGACCGCGAGGAAACTGATAGATGTGGGCGTTTTACGCCCCCCTCGTACTGTCCGGCTATCTTGTTATGAAGTCATAACGCCTAGAGATGATTCCCCGTCCCGGGGCACCAAGTACATGTATACATGTTCTCCCAACTCCCCTCTCGAATCTTTGGCTTTTTGTTCCTCGCCTCTCTCGACATACTCTGAATCAAGTCTTACCACGAACTTTTTTCTTCATTGTCTCATCTTTCCTACTCATGCTTGACTGTTCTCTTGACCTTAAGGGGGTAGAAGTGCTTGAACCTGGATAAGAGCAGAGCACTCACACTTTTGCCCGTTACAGCTCGTATTTGTCCAAAGACTTACACATCCCTCCACTCCGATTGGTCCCAGCGACCGCTCTTGGAATCTCTTGGAGAGCTTCTACCAGGTGATTCGGAAGTTGGTCCATCGTTACCTGTCTTCTTGCTGTTCACACTCAATCGATTCAGCCTTTCCCCCGGTGAACAACTGTCAACATGGGAAAGAAAGATCCCGAGGCTGAGGCTATGGCCAACCACATCTCTGGACAGTCTAATAAGCCCATGTCCAGGCCGGCACATGCTTTGGCTACCGAGCAAGTCGTCCAGGAGCTGAGAGCCAACCCAGACGACGGCTTGACACCCGAGGACGCCAAGACTCGTCTCGAAGAATATGGCCGCAACGAATTTGGCGCCGATAAGGGCGTTCAACCCGTCAAGATCTTCATTGGACAGATTGCCAATGCAATGACCTTGGTATGGCTTCTTCGCCTTCTTCATTCTTCCATACAAAGAACGACAGACTGACGCAGACATCAAATTAGGTTCTGATCCTGGCCATGGGTGCTTCTTTTGGTATCAAGTCTTGGATCGAGGGAGGTGTCGTCGCTGGTGTTATCTTTCTTAACATTACTGTCGGCTTCCATCAAGAGTTCAAGGCCGCAAAGACGATGGATTCCCTTCGATCACTTAGCTCGCCTACTGCTCAGGCCGTACGAGAGGGCCGTAACATCACCGTCCCCACCGTTGAGATTGTGCCTGGCGACATGGTCGAGCTCAAGACTGGTGACACCATCCCCGCCGATGTTCGCATAATCGAAGCTGTCAACTTTGAAACAAACGAAGCCTTGCTCACGGGAGAGTCTCTCCCCATCCGCAAGGAGGCTGCTCAGACTTTTGATGATGAGACTGGACCTGGTGACCGCCTCAACGTCGCATACAGCTCCTCAACCGTTACGAAGGGGCGTGCCCGTGGTATCGTCTTCGCTACTGGCATGTATACCGAAATTGGTCAGATTGCTGCCGCCCTTCGGGGCAAGAACTCACGCCGCCGAGAGGTCAAGCGTAAGGAGGACGGCTCCGCCACCTTTGGGCGCTACCTTCAAGCATGGACTCTGACCCTTTCCGATGCTGTCGGGCGCTTTTTGGGCGTCAATGTTGGAACACCTCTGCAGAGGAAGCTGTCTAAGTTGGCAATCCTTCTCTTTGGTACCGCTGTCGTGTGCGCCCTGATCGTACTGGGAGCAAACAATTTCAACACAACGCAGGAGGTTGTGATTTACGCCGTTGCTACTGGTCTTGCGATGATTCCTGCCTCGTTGGTTGTGGTCTTGACGATTACCATGGCTGCTGGCACGAAACGAATGGTCCAGCGTCACGTTATTGTTCGCCAGTTGAAGAGTTTGGAGGCCCTCGGTGGTGTTACGAGTAGGTTCACCCCAAAAGCACTGATGATATTTACCAATGACAGATGCTAATCCACCCGTAGACATTTGCTCTGACAAGACCGGAACTCTTACTCAAGGGAAAATGGTTGTCCGCAAGGCCTGGGTTCCTGGAAAGGGTACATTCTCCGTTAGCAACACTAACGAGCCCTTCAATCCTACAACGGGCGACCTCGGCCACAGTTCTGGCCAGCCCAAAGACATCAACTTCGGTTCCAAGGAGGGTGATGGCGAGCCATTCTCCAATGCCGAAGCTGAGGATCGTGTGAAGGAGAGTACCGTTCTCACGGACTACTTCAACGTCGCATCCCTCGCCAACTTGGCCAATGTCCACAAGACCCCTGAGGGAGAGTGGCACGCCCGTGGTGATCCTACCGAGATTGCCATTCAGGTTTTCGCATCCCGTTTCAACTGGAACAGGCTGCGTCTCGCTGGCGAGTCCAACCGGTGGCAGCAGATTGCCGAGTTCCCCTTCGACTCCGATGTTAAGAAGATGTCCGTCATCTTCGAGGACACTCAGACAAAGGCAGCATCGGGAAACAAGACCTGGCTCTTCACCAAGGGTGCCGTCGAGCGTGTCATCTCTTCTTGCCCTACGATTCAAATGGGCGATGATGTCGTTGAGCTTACCAAGGACATTGAGCAGGACATTTTGGCCAATATGGAGGCTCTTGCCCGCCTTGGACTCCGTGTCCTGGCCTTTGCGAGCAAGTCTGACATCGGTACCGTTGATAACCATGATAACCTTGATCGCGCCAACTTCGAAAAGGACCTCACTTTCCGTGGCCTCATCGGTCTCTATGACCCTCCCCGTCCCGAATCCGGTCCTTCGGTCAAGAAATTCCACGAGGCCGGCGTCAGCGTTCACATGCTTACCGGCGACCATCCCGAAACTGCTCGTGCCATCGCCCTCGAGGTTGGTATTCTGCCCACGCGCATGAATGAGATTTCCGCGAGCGTGGCGAAAACGATGGTCATGGCTGCCCACGACTTCGACAAGCTCTCAGACGACGAGATTGATAAGCTGCCCAACCTCCCGCTGGTCGTCGCTCGCTGTGCCCCTCAGACTAAAGTTCGCATGATTGAGGCTCTTCACCGACGTGAGCGCTTTGTGGCCATGACAGGCGACGGTGTGAACGATTCTCCCAGTCTGAAGCGAGCTGACGTCGGTATCGCTATGGGTGAGAGCGGCTCTGATGTTGCTAAGGAGGCGTCCGACATTATCCTCACTGACGACAATTTCGCATCGATTCTCAATGCCGTTGAAGAAGGTCGTCGCATGTTTGATAACATCCAGAAATTCGTCCTGCACGTGCTGGCCTGTAACGTCGCCCAGGCTCTGACTCTTCTTATCGGCTTGGTCTTCAAGGATGACAGCGGGCTTTCCGTGTTTCCCCTTGCGCCTGTCGAGGTCATGTGGATTATCATGATTACCTCCGGTCTTCCTGATATGGCTCTCGGGTTCGAAGTCGCTGCCCCGGATATCATGGACCGACCTCCGCAAGACGTAGGTTTCTCTGGGTCATTTCCTTTCATGCCCGTC